AGCCTGCTTCTCCCTCTCCCACTCCCCCTGCTTGTGTTCCCTCTCTCACTGTATCTCTGTCAAATAAATAAAATCTTAAAAAAAAAAAAAAAGATGTCTGTCTAAGAGGCAGCTTTAAATTCACAACTCAAAAGAGAAGAGAGTTCAAAGTAAAGACACTGAGATTTGTGAATTGTTTGCACAGAGTGAATAGTGAGGCCAAGGAAATAAGTAGAATAAAAGGGCCAGGGAAGTAAGCAGAATAAAAGGGCTGATGATAAAAACCCACTGAAAATGCCTATACATAGGGACAGAAGTTAGGAAAAAAAGAAAAAAATACTCAGTGCAGGAGGAAACCCAGGATAGTAAACTATTATCTGGCAAAACAAAGTTTCAAGAATAAGTGACATATTAACAGTATCAAATGATGCAAAGAGGTAATACTAGAAAAGAACTGAAAAAGGTCACTAGAGTTGATAATTATTAAAGTTGAGTGAGGGTACTTGGGGGATTTATTACACTATCCCCTTAACTTTCACATGTTTAAAATAGTAAATAAAAAATGTTAAAAAAATTTATTTGAAAATTAAGTCACCAGTTATCTTAGAGCAGTTCCAAAAGTATGATGTAAGTGTAAGCTGGACAGCAATGACTGCCCAAGAATGAATCTTCGTAATTTCCTCTAAGCTCTCAAAACCCACAGGCCCAAGTCCCACACTCTGAGACTTTAATTTAGTCAAGTACTAGAGCTCTTGCTAAAAACAAAAGTTCCTGAATCAATGAAAATTTTCCAGGGGAGAGACCTGGTAACCTGCATACTTAAGAAGTATTTCACGAGATATTAATGAGAAGTTTGGGAAACTCTAATTCAGAAGGTCTTAAAGAGGGCCTAGGCAGCTTTTTGTCTGATTTCAGCTTCACAAGGAATTCTAATTACATGTCTCCAATTGAGAACTACCAAGTTAAAGAGCTGAAGTACACAGCACAATGCAAGGTAAACTACCTTTCTAAGTATGGTGATAAGAGAAAAGATAAGATTGGAAGGGGCAGAGTAGGAAAAGTCAAGTCATTTTTAGTTTAGGGAACTTATAAGCATGTCTGTCTGTAGAAGAATAAAATAATAAACAGGGAACAAGTAAGATACAAGCAAGGAGAGTTAGAAAACTGATGAAAACAAGAATACAGGTGAAGGGCAAAAAGGGGGTATCTTTCTTCACAGGTAACAATAAAGGTGAGAGTAAGGTACATAAATCTAATACAGGAAGGAGAAAACTTACAGTTCACATCTAATGGTCTCAATCTCCCTAAAGCAAGAGAAGTGATAAGAACATGGGAAGTAAAGAGAGTAAGGATGAAATCTAGATACGGTAAGAGTGGAAAAGCTTTGAAACAGTCACTGTAGGAAGCACATTACATTGAATGGTAATAGGCAAAATTACTGTGAACTGCAGTGAAAATCTAGCAAACACAGTATTGGTACAATTCCATGACATCTATAGCAAGACAGTTAATAAAGCTAACCAGACGGGCACCTGGGTGGCACCTTCGCCACCCTTAACTTTGTTAAGTGTCTGCCTTCGGCTCAGGTCATGATCTCCAGGTCCTGGGATCAAGCTCCAGCATCGGGCTCCCTGCTCAGTGGGGAGTCTGCTTCTCCTTCTGCCTCTCCCCCACTGCTTGTGCTCTCAATCCCTCTCTCTCTCTTGCTCTCAAATAAATAAAATCTTTAAAAAAAAAAAAAAAGCTAATCATGGCATAGTGCTGGGAACTGCTAAGTGGCAGAACAAGTAAGTGAGGAATTTTAGAATGGCAGCACTGCATTGTTATAAGGACTGACCATGAGTATCCAGGCCAGAGCGTGAAGGTAGAACAAGGTGATACAGTTGGAGAATTGGGGGAAATTGATGAATTGATTATTTTCATGGGACAAAGATTTAAAAAGATATTTTGTCAGACTGAGAGCACTTAAAGGTTAAAGAGTTTTAAGTGATGAACAGAGCTGACCATGGGCAGAGGATGTTCTGGGGAATAACAGCAGGGAACAGAGCAGATAGGAAAGCTGAACAAAGGGACATCACTGAGCAATGTGACACCAGTGCTTCTTGAATTTTAACATGTCTATGAATCAGCTGGGATCTTGTTCAAATGAAACTGCATTTCTAATGAACTCCCAGGAGATGCCAATATTGCTGGTCCATGGATCACATTCATAGTAAAAAAATTCTAGTAGAGTTCTCCTCAGTTCAGGCACTTTCTCCACAATATGCACATGAGAAAGACACTCCCACCAGTGATGTCTCTCATTCCATGAAGTGACTCTCAAGTGTAGCTTGAAAAGTCTACATAGAAACTCACATTTGTATTCTTCTCTCATTAACTCTTACTTTCATACATCAATAGAAACCATTATTAACTTCTCAAAAGTTTGTGATATAGCAAGGATAAAAATCTAATTTTTCCTCATTTAGCAATTAGCTCTTACCTTTTTGATGCCATATCTCCCCCAAAATTGAATTTCAATTAGGGCTGCAGTCACTATTTTTTTGTTGTTGTTGTTGGACTGCATTACTGTTAGAATTTCTGCATTCACCTTTTAAAAATGGTGCCAAGAATGTAGTAAAAGTGACAAATATGACAAAGCAGAAAATAGGACCCTCAGGAACAAGATGAAAGAATTGAGATTTATTCAGCTTGTAAGTCACTTGGTTGAGGTGTAAGTTAATGGTCAATCAGGCTTCTTCACAAAGTACCTGTTAATCACTACAATAGCCAAAATAAACAAACTTCTCTAATCCATAAAATCAAGATTTAGTTACAAATGTAAATAATAGACTTACAAATTTTCAACATAACAGCTATCTTCCGTGTAGGATGATTTTAAATGAGGTATTATTTTACAAAGACTCAAAAGCTAACCTCTAAAATGTATTTCTGTTAATTTCCTGAATAATAGTAAATTCTTATTTGTACAATAAGTATACATAATATGTAAAGAATTTTATGTAAAGAAGGATTACCACAAGAGCATATGGCTAAAAATCCTAAGAAGAGTGTGCCAGGGGTACCTAATTATTCACATCTGCGTTTACTAACATTCAGCACAAACCTCCTCCTGGCCTCCTGATTCCATGAGGGAGCTTTTTCTGAAGCAGCATATCTGACTTCCCACTTTCCCTCCAACTTTTATCCAAGGAAGAACAACTTAACCAATTAATATGCTTCGAAGAAGAAACTGGGCATGTAAAACTTAGTCTTTTCTTGGTCCCCTCTTTTGGGTCTTCCTAGCAACAGACAGGGTGCATTCTAGTCTACTGTAGGCCAGGCCATGTGGTAAACTAGGGGAAGCCTACTGCTGTCTAGCTGAACCAGTAACAGAGGCTGAGGAGAGGTAAGTTTATCTAACTTAGAAGTGAAATACAAAAGGTCCACAGTAACTACACACGTAAGACATATCCCTAAGCTGTCCTTTCTTTAAAAATCAAGAATAGGGGTACCTGGGTGGCTCAGTCAGTTAAGCATCTGCCTTCTGCTCAGGTCATAACCCTGGGGTCCTGAGATGGGGGCCCGTGTTGGGCTCCCTGCTCAGCATGGAATCTGCTTCTCCCTCTCCATCTGCCCCCTGCTCATGCTCTCTCTCTCTCGCTATCTCAAATAAATAAATAAAATCTTTAATAAAATAAAATAAAAAATAAATAAAAATCAAGAATAAAGCTGACATTTTGATCTTCTATCAGACTCCTGCATATCTCTCAAATGATCCATAGTGAGAAAGGGATAAGAGAAGAATGGCTTATTGTTCCCTCACCCAAAAAATCCCAACAATTAGGAAAAAGGATGTTTTACCTATATGCAAGATATTAAGTAAAATTCTTCCTAATGTTGCACTATATTTAGACATCGTAGTTACTATGTCACCATTCAATTATAAAGATACTACGATATAACCTAAAAAGGTTTTGCCGTAAAATCTTACCTTAACAAAACGTTCATATCGTGCCTTCACTATTGGATTATTTAAAATGCTTGTTGCAGTCAAGACACTTTCTCTTTTTATTTGCTCCTTATAAGCCTATGAAAAATAGAACACACTGAGATACTTGAAAACCATACCATGAAAATATTTCTATAATTAAAACAACATTGTATGCTCAAATTCTTAGGATTTAAATGATTTACTTTCTGGCATATTAAGCTATAAAGCAACAACAGCTATTGTGATACAATCTAAATCATCCATGGATTAAAACAATGATTCAGTAAGCCAATCAGACTCATTAAAAAACACTCAGTCACCAAATATGATACACCTAGATCTACTAGATAGCTGCTTTCTCTCCTTCCTATTCCACATGCACGTCCCCCTGCCCCAACTCTTCCAACTACTAATTTTCATGCTATCAAAAAAGAAAGAATAATTTTTCATACTGCTAGAGTAATTAGTCTTCCTCTGGACTGTAGTTAGCGTAAGACTATATTATATAAAGGAGGAAAGGTAATAATATGGAATGTCTAGTTGCCAAAAAGCTGTCAAGGGGATATCAAAAGAGAAGAGAAAGTACAAAGATTTTTAAAAGATTATATGTGCTCAAAGTGGCTAACAAAGTCTGAGTTAATTGAGGATCACATCAATACAAAATATGAATTTAAGACTCAGGTATGTTCTATTTAAAACTTAAGTCTTTGGGGGCACCTGGGTGGCTCAGTCTGTTAAGTGGCCGACTCTTGATTTCAGCTGAGGTCATGATCTTGGGGTCCCGGGACTGAGCCCAGGGTTGGGCTCCACACTCAGTGGAGAGTTTGCTTCAGGATCCTCTTCCCCCTGGCCCTCACCCGCCCCGCTCGCTTGTGCGCATGCATGCACATGTGCACGCATTCTCTCGCTCTCTAAATAAATCTTAAAAAAATAAATAAAACTTAAGTCTTTATTATTTGAATTTTTAAATTTGCTTCTCAAACGAGCTAGTTTCCCACAATATAAACACTTCTTATTTTAAATAAACTGGACTAAATAAAATCAACCAATACAAATGCAGAAATATGCCAATCAAAAAGAAAACAGTACATTTTTCCTAGAATTTCTGAGTAAATTCTACTCAGAAATGTAACAATAGATAATAACTGATAATACTAGTTTATTTTTCCCAGCCATCAGAAAAACTTATGCTATAATCAAATCTTTCTTTTTTGATCTAAAACACACATACACACACTCTCTCTCCTCATAAAACTATTTTGTACAAACTTAAAAAAGTCTTCATGAAAAGAACAATTCAACAGCTATGATTTCCTGAAGGCTTACACTATGTAAGCTTACACTACGTAAGGCTTACACTAGTCAGGCACCATTTTAAGTGTTGTTTATACTTTAACTTTATCTTTAAACAGTTATGCAAGAGTAGAATGATTATCCATCTCTATTTTACAGGTAAGGAAACTTAGACAAAGAAAAGTTAATTTCCTTGCTTACCACATGTTATATACTGAACCAGAATTCAAACCCAGGAATTCTTGCTCCAGAGCCCAACCTTAACCACCATGCTTAACTACTATGCTACACTGCCCCTCTAGGTAATCTTTATAGTTTTTTACACAGATTAATAGGCTGTATGGAAGCAGGTTAGGTGTGAAACAATGGTCTTTAAAGGACAATAAAGGACTGATGAATAATTCAATGACTTAATTAAGACAGATCAAAACTTACCTGCTTCCCTTTGATATGATCAGGAGATTTTAGGTGCTGCTGCACAGAGCTATGTAAAGCAGGGATATACACACTGCACGCACTGCAGTGAACAGTCTCTACTTTCATCATGTGATCATCTGCAGTAACACCTACAAAAGAAAGCCAGTTATTAATAAGAAAAGTAATGATTTACATATTCTTATTTCTGACAAAACAAGTTTTTATTATTTTGTTTCCATGGTTATTTATAACCCCTTCTTCCCAAAAAAGGATCGAAGTATGTAGGTTAAGTTTTTCTACCACATCTCATAAATCTACACATATAGTTTAAAATATGGATAACAGATAAAATTAAAAAGTATAATTACATTATATTTCCTAATCATGTTATACAATCATGTTCTGAGGCCTAGAAGTCCATCCCCTAAAAATATAACATAAAAGAAGACAAATGTTGATTTTTTAGTAAGAAAAGAATTTCCATAATAAATGTGGGTGGGCAGGGATAGGAAAAAAGATGTCAAGATTGGATTGACAAGAAACAAAATACATGTTGGATCCTGAAAACTGTGATCAAGATTTATTATAGGTAAAGATATAAATATATGCAAGGGAAAGGTGTGAGAGAAAATGGCACTTTATGGGAATTGCAAGTAATTCAGTATGGCTGGGGCACTAAGAATAAAGAAAGGACAAAAGAGAAAAAAGACCAGGGCCTATACCATGGAAATCTTTGCATGCCAGGCATAGGAATTTGAAATTTATCCTGTAGAGGATGGAGAACCAGCTAAAATTCTTAAATTATTAATAAAAGTCATGCAGTAGAATTAGAGATAAGACAGACTGGAAGTATGGAAACTAGTTAAGAAAATAATAATTGCCAAGAGAACAGATAGAGATTTGAACAAATGTAATATTTAAGGAGGTAAAGAAGCAGACCTGAAAGATATTTAAAAGACAGAAGTGATAAGATACAATGTTATAGATATAGTAAAATAAAATTACTTAGGGCTAACTTCATACTTCTAGAAGGCTTTGATCATGGGGCCACCTTCCAAGGTAGATAAGAGACAGATCAACAGGGTTTTTGTTATTTTTCCGTATGGGGTGGAGGATGCTCAAAGAGTATACAAATTTTTTTGATACACGGATTTTGTGAGACTGCTAAAGAGAGAAGGCAGTGGGCAGTTGGATGTTCGAGACTAGGGTTCAGAGGAGAGATCTGTGCTAGGGATATAAATGTACAAGTAATCAACATATAGGCGTTAGTTTACTATCTCTGCAAATCAAATCATGAGGAAGGAATAAAAAAGAGAAGATCATGGAACTAAGGAAGAGCAGCGGGAAATACCAACTTGTAAAACCCTCATGGAGAAAGAAAAGCACAAATAAACAACAGCAAGGTAATAAAGATCATCAGGACAATGATATACCACAGAATCCAGGGGAGGAAGCAGATTCACAAAGAAGAGTAAAAAATGCTGCAGAAGTAAGATAATGATTCAGAAGAACCTGCTGAAGCTGGTGTCAGAAATCTCCATCAGAGCAGTTTCAGGAGACCACTGGTAGCAGAAAGTGTTCTACTGTGGAAAAGTAGTAATGGGCAGTGAATAAACAGATCAGTGTGGACTATGCTTAAAGAAGCATGGTTGTTCAAGGAGAAAAGCAAGTTAATTAGTTAGGGAAACTAGTGTCTGTTTTTCTTTTCTTTTCCTTTGTTTCTTTGGAGAGTTTTTTTCTTTTTTAAAGATGAAAGTGTAGGCTTCAGAAACAGAATCAAAAAAGAAAGACTAAAAAACAGAAGAGTTCACTATTTGAGCAGAAGTCCTTAAAGAGATGAGAAGGAATAAGACAGAAGAAAGATGGAAGAATTCACTTCCATCTAGAGGAAAAGCTGGTTTTTCTTGTAACTGAAGTGAGAGACATAACAGTAGATAGTGATAACTTATAAGCATGAGAAGAGGAAGTCAAAGGAGTTCATTTCTAATAACCTACTCACGGCTACCACATTTGACTATGAACTCAATCACTCTAGAAGGCATCATTTACACTGAAATAGGGTATGGTATGTAAAAAAAAATGTAAATTTCCAAAATAATTTGTTTAAATACTTACCTTCCATAACATCTTTTTCAATTATTTTAACTACTTCTGTTTGATTATTTGTCTGTTGCTTACGAATAGATGTTTTCTTGAATTTATTCACCATACATTCCTATAAAACAAATAGGAAGAAAGCCAAAAAGTTCTCAGTGAGCACTTAGAATACGCTCAGCAGCAAACTCAGCCTATGGAAGATAACCTCTGTTACAGAAGAACTAATATCTGTTCTCAAGGAGCTTACAATTCAGTTGAAAAAGACTATCATAAAATACAAAGAAATTACTAAGACACTTATAAAAAGTATTTGCTTTCAAAATGTATTTTATATCAACAATAGCCAACCTATGGAAAGAGACCAAATGTCCACTGACTGATGAATGGATAAACACAGTGGAATATTACTCAGCCATCAAAAAAAAGGAAATTGTGCCATTTGCCATGACATGGATGGAGCTAGAGTGTATTATGCTAAGCGAAATAAGCCAGTCAGAAAAGGCAAATACCATGGGATTTCTTTCACTCATATGTGGAATTAAATTAAATTTGGAAACAAAACAGATGAACATAGAAAAAGGGGGGTGGGGGGAGAGAGAGAGGGAAACAAACCAAAAGAGACTCAACAATAGAGAACAACCTGACGGTTGATGGAAGGAGGTGGGTGGGGGACGGGCTAGATGGGGGAATGGGCATTAAGGAGGGCACTTGTCATGATGAGCACTGGGTGTTGTATATAAGTGATGAATCATTGAATTCTACTCCTGAAACCAATATTGCACTATATGTTAACTAACTAGAATTTAAATAAAAATTTAAAAAGAAAAAAATGTACTTTAGGCATAAAGAACAAGAGAAATCAAGGAGAGTTAAGAGGTCTTCTCAAGGCAGTTGAGTACTTAAGTCCTAAATGACAACTAGGAACCAGTTAAGGAATGAAATTACAGAAAGAAATGTTTATAAAGGTACACAATTCTGCAAGGATATGGAGGAATGAATGATCATTGTATTTCTAATCCCATAACAATTGCATGCTTTTGTCCAAATTAACTGTATGTACAATTAGCAGTCTAGCTCTAGTCCCCTCCTTAAGCATCCCTGGCCCCAACTATCCTCCCCTTCTTCAAACCCCCCTGCCTACATTCTCACTCCTGGCCCTTCAACTTAACTGTGCCATCTGTGGATATACGAGAGTGTTCTCTTTCCAGTTACCGTTAGTTCACAGAGGGTGGTATCTGTGTCTTTGGTCCCTGCACAGCACCTTTTGTTAAGTATTCAAGAAAAACTGTTGAACTGGTGACCACGCACTGATAATATAAAGGACACCAAACAGACACCCACTCTCTGGCTCTGAATTCAGATTGCCACTTAACTGAGTCACTACACTGCTCTGAGCATGATCTTTCATGATAAAAAGGAGTTGTGCTGAGGCTCAAATGAAACAATGAATGAAAGTACCCAGCACAGCACAAGGTACAGAGTAGACTCTCAGTGAATGATAGCTGATTCTGCATCAATAAACAGTTGTTAAAGGAATCCTTTTCCTGACACCTCTGCTAGAAAGTAATGTGAAAAACATAAAATCATCTCTCAAATTATAAATCTAAAATCTATTACAGAGGAATTCACATCTAATTCTGAGCTAATTTTTTTTAAGAACTCTTTAAGTAAACAGTAAACTAAATTTTTAGAAACTTAAAATGGGAGAGAGATGGGAAACTGAAAAAGTAAAAATTTAAGATATCAGATAAAGTGCTTCTCATTTTAAAAACAGCTACTTACATGCAAAAACTCCATAACTACTTTATCAAATTTGGTTTGTTTCTGAATATGATCTAGTGTTTCCTGGTGTGAAGAACTTTCCAGATGTAGTTCAATATCTTTTTCTTCAAATGTTCGGAATTTACAAAATGAACATGTGAATGCCATTCTATAAAGAAAAAAAAAAGTTTTTCTTTAAATATTAACTTATTTACTTAGAGTTCATAAGACCACACCAATAAAACTAATTTTACCAGCATAAATGATTTCCTTTATTCCATTTTATGGTTGATCTAAATTTAGCTGAAGTCAGAAAAACCAGTATTTCTTTAGATACCTATTTGGACAAAACTGTTATTATACCACTTTGCATTTCTGGCCCACCCTGGAGCTTCTGGGTACAAACGATGGAATCAGTGGATCTACTTAATCTAGTCCTAAGCTATCCACTTCAAGCCTAGACTAGTTAGAAAGCCAAAGCAAACTTCAAAAAATATCAAGTTCCAAAGTTCCACTACTTATTTTATTTTGTTCCACTCTTAGCTTGCAATCCACCAAGGCAGTATCAACAAAGCCAGGTGGAACGCCAGACAACCGTAATTCACTCTCCTGGAGCTCTTGGGTGAGCAAAAGCCTGCCCTCTAGGGACCACTTCAGGATGACTGACCAGCCTGGATTAGGAGCCACTCGACTATGAATTTCCCTTTTTCCTCCCATAAAGTATTCCTGCCTTATGTATTCTTGTTATTTCCTTTTCCTTGAATTATGACAACAGTTTCCTAACTGGTTTGTCTCCAGTCTCCATTTTCCAATTAATTCTTTATACCACTATTCTATTTATTTTCCTGGTTAAGATTATAGGATAGGATTTAGAGTCTACTCCTGGGTTTATATCCTAGTCCTCTTGTGTGATGTTGGGCAAATTACTTAACTTCTCTGGGCCTCAGTTTTCTGATCTTTATGAGATGAAAACCCTTACAGAAGCACTGTGATAATTAAAAAAATTAACATACAGAAAGCCCTTAGGACAGTTCCTGGCACATAGTATAATTCAATTAATAATTGTCATTTCCTCAAGGAGGCAACAGCACTTCATTGCTCAAAATACCAGCTTCACGGACTTAAGCCTCAAAAAACAAAGTCAAAACACTTTTAGTTACCATTTAAGAAGGTTTTTAATCTCTCCTGTATCTTTTTGGCTTTAACCACTAAATACCGTTAACAGTATCTGGCACATGGTATGTCTTCATTATTTAAATTAGATTACACTTTTCAACCCCTACTAGATTCATTTTCAATCTACACAGCTTTCCATTTCCTGAATGTCAATGAAACATCCCTATTTCTTTGCTTTGACCTCGAGCCATGGCCTCTACCTGGGCTGCCTAACAGCTCCTACTGCAATCCTACCCTCCCTGAGTCAGTTGAAATACCACCTTCAACCATTTCCCTGATTTTCCTGCACTCCTACTGAGATGTCATCTCCTGTAAGACACTTTGTACTTCTCTTTTGGCACTCTTCCCCATATACTGTTGTTTGTCTATACCTCTCACACCCCTGTCCTCTTCCCCTCAGGTTCCCTTCTTTATTATATTGAAAGCATTCAAATATCCAAAAAGAACGTATCATAAGAATAGTTATTTACTGTCAATCTCTTATCTTCCTAACTCAAAATAAAACTGCTCTGATAAATTAAAATAAGTTTAGACTATTTTAAATGGTTCTTATCCTAAAATGACAATTTAATTGAACTGACATTCTTTGGCTTATATCCTCAGATTTATATTTAGAGTTATGGAGAAAACAGCTAAATGAAAGTTCAGTTTTTTCATTTTCTCCAAGTCACATATTTATTACATAACATGGATATATCCTATCCAAAGCTACAATTTTTAAAGGGGGAAGTATTCATAGGGTAAATAGAAAAATTAATCTTATAATGTAAAACATCTCCAGATTCCTACACACCTGAAACAGAGTTCATTTCAATTTGTTTCCACCCCTGTCAAAAGAAGGAATTCTAGCAACAGTGGCAGAGATACTCATAAGGACAAAACTAGCTGCCTCTTAAATACTAGAACTTCTTTTCATGAGTTAATTCTTAATTAACTTAATCTTATTGTTTACAAATTATGAGTAACAAATCAGAAAGAACACAGGAAAAAGTTACTGAAGCTGGACACAAAGATTATACAAGTACAGCTGACCCTTGAACAACAGTGGTTTGAAAGGCACAGGTTCCTTGTGTGCAGATTTTCTACAGCACAATTCTGTAAATGTATTTTATCTTCCCTAGGATTTTCTTAATATTTTCTTTTCTCTAGCTTACTTTATTGTAATAGAGTATATAATACATGTAACATACAAAATATGTGTTAAATCAACTGTTTATGTTATCAGTAAGACTTCTAGTCAACAGGTGGCTATTAGCAGTTTTGCAGGAATCCAAAGTTAGACATAGATTTGTGACTGTGTGGAGGGTTGGCGCCCCTAACCCCCATGCTGTTTATGGGCCAAGTGTAATACCGAGCTCACTAAAATCAAAGACAGTCTAAGCAAACAAAAAAATCTGGGAATTCAGATGCCAGTGAATTTTCTTTTACTACATTTTACATGAATAAAATCAACGTATATATTAAAACCAAGTAGTAACAAAGAATATCCTGTTTAATATGGAAGAAAACACAATTTAAAAAATATCTCCATGGAAAGGTCTGCAGATGCTTGCCTTAAAAATGTTATATTCTGAACTAACATAAAGTTTTAGACTTCTAGAAAATTCACTAATGTGTAATATTTCATTCCTCTCATGCTACACAAAACAAATTAACTTTTAAAGAGCAAAACTAGGGGCGCCTGGGTGGCTGTTCAGTTAAGCATCTGCCTTTGGCTCAGGTCATGATCCCAGGGTCCTGGGATCGAGTCCCGTATCAGGCTCCCTGCTCAAAGGAGAGCCTTCTTCTCCCTCTGCCCCTCCCTCCTTCTTGCACACACACACACACACACACACACACACACACACTCTCTCTCTCTAACTCGATCTCTATCTCAAATAAAAATCTTAAAAAAAAAGAGCAAAACTATATTCTGAATAGAAAATACACTTAATTTACTTTTTAACTTTTATAATCTTTATTTTCCTAGGATAAGCAGTAATTTAAGAGAAAGATGATGGAAAAAAAATTACTGTCCTTAAAAAAATTTTTCTTTTCGACTTTTTCATGCGTATTTTACATGTTGTATATATCACTTTTTCTACTTCGCCTGCATTTTCTCCATGTTACTACAGGCTTTATAACCTTCATTTTCAACAATGGCCTAAGAGCCCATAAACGGAAGTATCAAAACTTACATACACTTGACCACTTGCTATCACTGGTATTTATTTCATGTTTGGAGCTATTACAAACAATGCTGTAATGGCCATCTTTTTAGATTAAACTCTTTTATACTTTTATATTATTTTCTTCGAGAGATCACCAACTATAAAAAAAATTCAAGACATTTTTAAAAACTGCTAAATTGGGGCCACCTGTGTGGCTCAGTCAGTTAAGCTTCCAACTCTTGTTTCGGCTCATGTCTGGATCTCAGGGTTGTGAGATGGAACCCCGCATTGGGCTCAGTGCTGGGCGTGGAGCCTGCTTAAGATTCTCTCTCCTTCTTCCTTTGCCCTTCCCCTCTCTCCCTCTCAAAATAAATAAATAAATAACCTGCTTAACTGCTTCCCAGTAATTATAACCATATTATTTGGTTACCAACAAATTATAATAGTGTGCTTTGACTGTTTCATTGTTAGTAAATCAATGTTTCTTTTCTCCTCACTAATAAAATGCCATGCTATTATTTAAATTTCCAGTTTATCTTACAGTGAGTTTCAACATTTTCCTGAAAATTATTAACTAGCTGGTGTTCCTTCAGCCAATCATGTATTGAGCATCATGTTTTCTTCCTTTTTAAAAAACACTGGTCAGGGGTGCCTGGGTGGTTTGTTCAGTCAGTTAAGTATCCAACTCTGATTTCAGCTCAGGTCATGATATCGAGCCCCACATCGGGCTCCTTGCTGAGCATGGAATCTGTTTAAGATTCTCTGTCTGCCTCTGCCCCGCCCCCCAACTCGCTCTCTCTCTCAAAAAAAAAAAATACTGGTTGGGTGATATTTATCTTAGACATTAATCATTTCTTGTGTTTATAGTATTTTCCAAGTCTGTTTGCTTTCAAGTTTTAAATTTTTATTTAAAATAATGTGGTCATTATTTCCTTTGTAATTTATTCTATAACTTTTAAGCCTGGGGGGGGAAAAAACTTCTGCAGTGATTATTTATAAATATTCTATTTTAGTTTCCTGTTATTTTCCATTTTGTAGGTTCTTTAATCCACCTGGATTTCATCTTCACTGGTATAAGAGGATCTAAACCATTTCTCTTATTATTCAGTTGTCCAAGCAATCCCTCTCCCCCCATTTTTAAGCAAGTCCCCTTTTGTTTGCAACCTCTTCTTTATTATATATTATATTCTTACATATAACACAATTTTTTACAAGTTAATAATTCTATTATACTAATAACCTTTTTCTGGTACCACATATTTTTGACTATTATAGCTTTGTAATGTTTCAATTATCTAGAAAAAGCTAGTACCTACTCATTTACTCTTCTTTTACAGAATCTTCTTTGGAATCAAGATTCACAAAACCTGTTACATTTCTAAATATTTAGTTTTCCTATCCAAGAATATCACTATGTCTCCATGTACTCAAATCTCAAGAAGACTTTGTGGTTTTCTTCATGTTATGACATGTATTTCTTTTTAAGAATACTGTATTTCCAGGTATTTTTTATTTTTGGATTACCATTATGAATGTAACTCCTTTTTCTTATATTTTCTAAGTACTGACTGCACATAAATACCAAAAAATCTTTGATCAAACCTTTTCATTTGACGCTCATGAATTTTTTCATATTCCAATTAATGTATCTGCATTTTCTAGGAAACCGTTTTTAATAAGACCAATTTTCAGACTCTACTAAGCACAAACCTGTATCCATCTCCGTATTTCTCACTGTTTTTTTCTCTTCTGCGCCTTTGTTTCTCTCGCCGAGCCTCAATTCGTCGCTTTTCTTCTTCCTCATTTTTAGGGTCAGTTTTTGCTAGGATATCAGCAAAAGTCAAAACTAAAAATCATTTTTCCATTCTCCCTTTTCAGTCTCCACTTCAAAAATTATAGACATGCAAGGTTTACTTGCTGACCACAATCTAAGTTGAGCTCACCAGAAAAATCAGAGTTTGAGATTAACCAGTATTTCTGAAACTCCATTCATTTGAATACCATCATCATGAATTCAGTGCTTTTAGATAATTTTTTCATGTTCATATGACAAACTACACAGTAATTATAATTGTAGAAGTTAAACCGGTGAATCACCTAGTATAGTACTAATCAGTCATGAACATCAAAATTACCCAGATACTTTTTAAAAATGCACATGCCCTGGGGCGCCTGGGTGGCTCAGTTGGTTAAGCCTCCAATTCTTGGTTTCGGCTTGGTCAGTATCTCAGGGTTTTGACATGGAGCCTCAGCAGGCTCCATGCTTAGCGAGGAGTCTGCCTGAGATTCTCCCCTGCCCCCGTTCTACTCCTCCCCCCAGTTTGCACTCTCTCAAATAAACAAACATATCTTTAAAAATGCACATGCCCTGGTCTACCTCTCCTTATTTAGGATGGAATCAGAACATCTATGTTTTAAAAGGCTTCTCACATGGGGCGCCTGGGTGGCTCAGTTGGTTAAGCGACTGCCTTCAGCTCAGGTCATGATCCCAGGGTCCTGGGATCGAGTCCCGCTTCGGGCTCCCTGCTCTGCGGGGAGCCTGCTTCTCCCTCTCCCACTCCCCCTGCTTGTGTTCCCTCTCTCGCTGTGTCTCTCTCTGTCAAATAAATAAATAAAATCTTAAAAAAAAAAAAAAAAAAGGCTTCTCACATGATTTTGAGTTTTGTCTTGGGTGTTATATTTATTGTTGGGAGCTATTGTTGAGGATATAGTATTATCCCAATACACAGAATCCCCTTTAGAGGACAAAGGGAAGACATTTTTCATGGTTCCTGATACCAGGAAAAGATGTGTTTCTTCCTGATACCAGGAAAAGGTGTATTTCTTCTGGAAAATTAATTTGCTTTTAATCTTGTGGACATGACAACTCTTAGAGATAGTCACATTTCCAACTTTACATTGTTAAAAAAAATTTTTAAAAACCAGCTGACCATAGTTTTATGAATTTTTTTCTGGACTCTCAGTTCTGTTCTGCTGATCTATATGTCTGTCCTTGTGCCACTACCACAAGGTCTTGATTACTGTGGCTTTGTAGCAAATTTTGAAATCATGAGTGTGAGTCTTTCTATTTTGTTTTTCTTTTTAAGACTGTTTCCTCTATTTTAGATGCCTTGCAATTCCCTATGAACTTTAAAATCAACTTGTCAATTTTTGCAAAGAAGTCAGGTGGAATTCTGACAGGGATTGTACTAAATCTATAGATCAGTTTGGGAGTATAACCACCTTAACAATGTTAAGTCTTCAGATCTATGAACCACTTACTTAGTTTTTCCATTTATTTAGATCTTCTTTAACTTCTTTCAACAATGTTTTGCAGTTTTTGAGGTATAAGTTCTACACTTCTTTTGTTAAATTTATTCCTGAATATCTAGTCTTGTTGATGCCAGCATGAATGAAATGGTTTTCTTAATTTCATTTTCAGATTGGCTCTTGATTTTTTTAACAATGTAAAGTTGGAAATGTGACTATCTCTAAGAGTTGTCATGTCCACAAGATTAAAAACAAATTAATTTTTCAGAAGAAACACACATTTTCCTGGTATCAGGAACCATGAAAAATGTCTTCCTTTTGTCCTCTAATGGGGATTCTGTGTATTGGGACAATACTATACCCTCAACAATAGCTCCCAATAATAAATATAACATCCAAGACAAAACTGACTCAAAATCATGTGAGAAGCCTTTTAAAACATATAGATGCTCTGAGTCCATCCTAAATAAGGATTTAGGGAAGAGAGGTGGCCCAGGGCATGTGCATTTTTAAAAAGTATCTCTGGGTAATTTTGATGTTCATGACCAATTAATAACTACACTAGGTGATTCACAAATCTAATTTCTATGATTATAATTACTATGCAGTCTGTCATATGAACATGAAAAAATTATCTAAAAGCACCAAATTTTTAAAAAATTGGAAGTACCTTAAGCCATAGCAATTATGTTTTCTTACTTACTAGGTGATTTGCTGAGGCTCATCTTCTCCACAGGTTTTGCTAGCTTGGGTTTCTTGATAAAGGTTCCACCAGGCTTATTAAATGGTTGCATCATTTTTCTCTTTATTCCTCTTGCAGCAGCAACTGTCACATTGGTGGGTTTGTTTTGATAGTCAACAACAATTCCAGGTCTATGAATGCTTCCAAAATCACTCATATGCTGCAAATTTGTGAAATCAAGAAATATTAGCATAGTATCCAAAGATAAAGTAGGAATTCACACAAACTTTACATGTTATCTATCTAATAATTTTCACCTGAAAATTCCCCAGAATGTAACTAAATTTTACATGTCACTCTGAATGAACACATTGAAAAGCTTTGAATTATTACATGAACTCAAATCCAGTGAATTAGTATTTTTATTTCCAGTAGAACAAATATGGATATTTCCTACTTATTTTTTTATTTGTACCATTCAAAATTACTTGAGGTCATAAACAACATATGTGCCTGTCAGAATATTACCACTTGTACAACTCTCTGACAACTCCTCTTCAGAGTTCCTAATTGATGTTTTCCCATGAAAAGACCTTAAAAGACATCTTTATTTCACTAAAACCTGGCTTAAAAACTAAGATGCATAAAGAAGACCATATCTGAAGTCTGAAGTAAAAAAGATCCAGAAATCCTTTAGGATTTCTCCCTGTTGAAAAAGGGAATGAGAAGGCGAGATGGAACATTAGTATGAAATAGGAGAGTTAAAGCATAACCATGCATCAACTTCCAGGACACACTTCAGATAAAGAATTACATCTGACGTTCCATTCACATTCTTACCTAGAGAAACATATTCTGACCCAGAAGCCCAAGAAGCGAAAGTTTACAGACGAAGAGTCATGCAACCAAACGACTCTTGTGTCCCTTCCTCTTCTCTTGTCATTAACAAAATCCACTACACCAAGAGGCCACATGTCCACAGAAATTTATTCTGCTAATCTTACTTTTAGAAGATAAAGAATGAGGAGTAATCTGAAGAGAAGGATCCAATGGGAATTGTACAAGTGAAGATTAAAAAAGAAAGTCCTGTTGGTTCATCTACTTCATTAACAGGAGGAAAGAAAGAAAAGTCCATTCAGACTAGAATGGTGAACACAAAGTACAGGAATGCCTGTTTTTCTATTGTGAAAACAAAATTAATATTTGAAGTCTCATTAAAAAAAAATCATTTGCCTAAAGTAATATACAGCATGGAAAATGTTAAGTGTTTTTCAAATTTTCAAACTGGAATTGATTTTCAACTTCAAAAACCAAAGCCTACTACCCCAACAATTTTCAATTAACCTATAGTCACTAATTATGGTGGAATAGCAACATATCAGTTGCTTACATTTATGTATTATGCTAAGGAATCCCTAGCTAACCTAGTAGACTTGAATAGATTAGTGTTACCAGGTAATTTGTAGAGTCACATTAGAAATATCTTCATTAATTATCCATTAAAGGTGCAATGCATTTTACATTAAGTAAAGGGTAACTGTTATAAATGCAAAATTTCTACACAAAAGTGACAAACTACACTCATGTACCAAAGGCTAATGAACAGTTAAAAACGTGTGCCCTACTACATTTTTTTTATCAGAAGTACTTTCCTCTGCAAAGAGAATATTAAGAGTAACTGACTTAAAAAAAGAAAAAAGAAAAAAAAAACATTTCTTACATTAAATCAAAAATACAGTATCCTTCATATGACCAAACTACAAAACTCCACAATCTACATACACTTACTAGGTAAAATTTCATGTCAGTCAAGTTACCTAAGAACATAAGTCATTATCTTTATACTATGTCCTGAAATAAAACACTTGAAGACTAGTATATTTACTCATGTAAGCAATGATTTACAAAATATTACTTCCTAGGAAGGAGCGAGAGACATGTTTGTACAGGTAGGAACTTATTTCTCAATAGTATAAACTAGTGACACAAGGGAAAACAGAACACCCAACAATGGGACATATTGCAAGAGAGTGAGTTAGTAATTATACTGACCACAAATCATTCTACAACCTATTAAACATATCAACTTCTTCACCATGTAAACATGGCTAAGCTACCCTCATCTATCACCAACTTTTAGTCCCTTGTGTTTAATGTGAAATATGGAGCTCTGAAGAAATTCTATGTGCTAGAGTTAGCAGCAAAGTATAAACATTTTATCATACATTGCACCTTTAACCTACTCAAAAACTCCAAAGGGTTCAGTTACCTTTTACAATAATCCAAGAACTGTTCCACCAGCAAAACTGCTAGTGTTTACAAGGAAAAATGCAACTCCTTTTAACCCCTTTTAGACCAAAACCTAATATCCTCACCTTTTTAATAAAGGGAGATTTGGCAAAACTTATGAACAATCATCTCACACTGCCACTTATTTTCTGAAGTGCTGGAAAAACTTTTATAGGCAACCTAAAAATTATGCTTATGATTGAACTTTTGCTTCAAAATACACTGGGATGAACAGTGTTTATTCTAGATGAAAACCATGGTCTTGAAAGGGTTTAAAAGAGTGACTAGTGAAAAGAATCTGAAAAGATTCTGTTGTACTTACTCCTCGGCCTCGGCCTCTGCCTGTTGATGGTCCTCCAAAAGCATCATAGTTTCTGCTTCCAAACGTACTTTCAGGATAAGCAGGCGTTCCTCTCCCCCGAGAGCCTACAGGTGCAGGCTTCATATGGGGTGAAGAAAAACTGCTGTAGGAAGAGTAATTCTCTCTTCCTCTGTCCTCCATAAACCCAGGCCTCAATTTTGAACGGGAGTAAGGTGCTTCCCAGCTAGACCCGCCCTGGTTTCTACCTCCGAAAGAGTCAAGGCTATTCCGGTAGGAGCTCTCAAATCGACCACCATAACTACCTCCGAAGCGGCTTTGTTCGGGTTCATTAAAACCATAGCCAGATCTGTACAGATCTCGCCCACCCAGAGAAGACCTGGAGTCGTAAGACTCATAAGGTCCAAACCTGGAAAAGTTGCACAGTGAGGGAAAAAACAAAAGTAAGCTTACTAATGTTAGACAATTCAAAAGACAAATTATCAGATGACATTTATCAACTAAAATTCATTTATACCATACTGGTTTGCACAGTTCTACTTTTATTCACACCTGATTAGGGCTGGGCAGTTCAACATGAGACCAGATAGAAAGCTATCTGAGTCAGTTTTTAAATATGAATTGAGTTAAGTAAACCTTAGCTTAAAAATCTGCTTTGTAGCAGCTTTTCTATTTTATTAAAAAGATTTGTCTGATGGTATTTAAGCCCAGCCCTAGTCTTGGAAAAAGTCATTTACTAAAGTTCACAAACTACTCAAACTTTCTTTGAATCCATCCCTAGTATTGGAAAATACCAAATATTTACAATATTTTGGCTTTCAATAGGGACAAAAATTGAAGACTACACTAATATAAGCTATTTGTGACACAAAAGAGATCCTTTTGCACCCCCAATAATCTATATCACAAAACTGCTTCATTGTGTCTATAGCAGTCAAAATTTGGAGAATTATCTCTGGTTATGAAATTTGATATCCTGCCCAGCTTTGGGTAAGGTCAATAATCAATCCTCAGTCACTTTCCACTAGCAAATCTAACAAATCTAAAAGGATAAGCACATAAAATAGAACATAAAAGTAAAAGACCACCAACATATACCCTCTGCACATAAATTATCAAGGCAGATGAGAAAGAATACATTTTAAGTCTTCAATTATTTAAAAAATTCTTTCCTGGCAGGAAATTATCACATAAAACTACCCTAAAAAAGGGGAGCACACAGTCTCCTCAAGGTTTTAATAGAGTCAACAGAAGAAACAAATCATCTTACTTCTCACAAATCCAAAGCATGGATTACAAAAGTTGCTTGATATCTTACAACATAGTTTTATAAAGGCCCACAATTACACGAGATAAACAATAACATCTACATAGTTTATGCACAACACATTTACAATGCAATAGGGCAATAACGGATATATTAAAACATTTAAATGTGTTACATTATTTCAATTATTTACAGATCACTAAACAGAATGTACTATTTACTTCTGAATCCTGGTAACCATATAAAAATTACTCCTCTTTCCAACTCTTTTTAAAACATCTATCACATAAGCAAAATTGTTGTATCTGTTCATTTTTTTTTATTTTCCTCTACTATAAACCATAGTGGCACACTTGAAGCAGAAAGAAGGAAAGTAAGCATCATTCAGTCCATCCTTAAGGAATCCAGATCCTTCAACGTATGAAGAAGGAGGATAGTTTCAAATGTTACCTAACTAGTTATATTTAGTAGAAATATCTGTGCCTCAAAAGGTATACCGCCTTTGCCTGAAATGTGGTCAACCCTAAAGCCTATACTAGTTCAACTAGTGTTAAGCTTTACAAGGTATCAACAGTGAAATATAAAAACAATCTAAACTCTAGTGCATTAAAATAAACGAAGGTATAGTATTCATGGCTTTGATACAATGCTCCTAGCTTAGAGCACAGTGTTTTTGGTATAGGTAGTACCTGCCAATAAATAACCTAGACATGAACTTAAAGAACGTTTTATTATTACAATATGTTCTTACAACTTACTCTAAAATTGAAATTGAAAGAATAACTATCTTAAATGTTTCTCAGAAACTGAATGTTGCTAGACTGGTTCAGTTAAACCCATTCCAGTCAAAGACTGCTTTGCTGCTTTACAGAACACCCCATATCAGAAAAGATACTTTTAAAACTCATAAAGAAAAAAACTTCACAAATAGTATTTCCAATAACATTTTTATATCATTTGTTCAGAACATTCTGAATGATAAGGAGTTAAAAGTAAAAGAAGTAAAAAAAAAAATCACTACTGAAGACAGAAAATCTTACTCTACTGTATTGAAATGAAAATAGCTACTTGAAGTTTTCCTAAAATAATGTCTGTCAGTGATCCTGAGATAATTTTTAGAACCATTAATTAACACCTTTAAACATTTAAGGTGATTATTCAATACCAAATAGTGAAGTTCAAGTATCATAACATGCGTAAGGAATACTTAAATTAAAACATCCAGAATCTTATAGTCATCTAATTATTTGGCCAAGTGATTAAGCAATTTACCTGCTACCCCCACCACCACCACTGTGATTGTCCATGCCATATGACTGGTTTAGGTAGGAGTCCATGGATCTTTGACCCCCATAGGATCCATGGCCATAGTCACGGTCCATCCCTATAAAGAGTTTAAAAAGAAAAAAATTAAATGATGCTCACCTTTACTGGCACCCAAAAGAAGAATTTTTAGATAAATATCCTTGAATGTCAGACCTCCATAAGATCCGGGGCCATAATCACGATCCATTCCTAAAACAGAGTCAATAACAAAAGGTCAGTAAGATATACCATTCTCTTTGGGAATCTTTGCATAAAACATGAGATACTCGTATCAGTTATCTGAGATAATAATTCATCAATAACATTTAAGCTAAACTCACACTAGACATGGACGGAAAAAACTCACAGAATAATCTACTGAAAAATCAGATTTGCTAAGAAAACGTAATTTTTCAAAAAAAAATTATCAACTAAAAAGTTCTATGTTAGAATTATTTTCAATTTAGCCAATATTTATTTGACTAGGGTACTCCTTTAAGGTTCTGTATTAGGAATGATACAGTATGTAATCAATAACAAATAATTCCTACTCTCAAGAAAAGTCAGCATTTAATAATGTCAAAAAGAAAAATTTTTGTTTTAAGTATAGTTTTTGCAAATAACTGTCCTCAAAATGTCTAAAAACCCAGAAGCAGCCACGTTTTCAACTAGCCTAATTTCAATTTGTTCATATATTAACTGAAATAGACATTTTTAAAAAGTAAAATCATGGAGTAGGGGGCTAATCTGTGGTACTACGCCTGTAAATAATAACAACTCAACAAACATTTAAATCCTCAAATACTCTGAATAAAGGGACTGAATGTGAACTCTAGCAATTCAAAACACTAAAAAAAATTCTAATACATTAAGGGTACTGAGTATATTTTATTACACTGCAATTCCACCTATATCCCAACCTCTTACATGAAAAATACAACAAGAGGTAATAAAATGAATTTACTACGATTTTAAAAATGAAAAAATTTTAGAATCATTTAGAATGTGTCCTATAAAGTCCTTTAAAATCCTTTATTACCACCCTCCCCAAATTTTATGTACTAATAAATACAATAGTATACATAGAGCAAATACCTTAATCTGTATTTTTTTAAACACTAAATTTTAATTACAATCACTTCAATATTGCTGGTCCTAACAACAACAATAATGACAACAGCAACAACTTCACAAAGATACCACGCAGAATCTTGCAACTTTAAAGCTGGAAGCAATCTTATTTTATAGATTTAAGGATAAAATTCAATCTTATTTTATAGATTAGGGAGCTAAAATCGAAACAGATGAAATGATTTTCCCAAAGTTCAGTAAGTATCCACCCCTCCAGCTTTATGCTGTTGCTTTTACGTGAAACACTCTCCTCTAAAACCCCAAATATCTGCTTCTTGAAATCTCATCTTTTAAAGTCCATTTCAAATACTAACCCTTTTCAAGAACACTTCTAGTGATACTGTCTCAGTTGATCATCATCTCTTTCTTCTAACTATCTACAAGTCTGTAGCTCTTACATGATGCTTATGATACTCTGCCTTACATTCTGAGACTTGTGGCCTCATCTTAAATGTACACTAGTCTTGTGGTCAGAGTCTGATTTTTATTAATTCTCTTATACCCCAGAGCCACAGTTCTCAAGGTATAGTCTGTTCACCACTGGGAGTTGCCAGGACCCTTTCAGGGATCCACAAGATCAAACAATTTTCATAAATAATACTACAACATTATATGCCTTTTTCACAGGGTACTGGTAGGTAAAACTGCAAGTGCCACAGCACAAATCAAGGCAGTGGCACCGAACTGTACTAGCAGCCAATGCAGTCCTCAACACGGCACACTTGCGGTAAAAAATAATAAAAGAGAACTGCCATCTCCACTTACAAAAGTCCTTGATGAAGCAGTCAGAATTATCAGTTTTATTAAATCGTCACCTTTGAGTACACTTTCTCTCTGATATTCTCTAGTAAAACAAAAAGTACACAGAAAGAAAGCAATTTTGCTGCATACCAAAGTAGCACAGTTTTCTCCAGGAAAAGCCATTGTGCAAGTGTTTGGTTAACTGAATTAGCCACTTTTACAAGGAAGACTATTTTTCCTAGAAGGACAGACCAACATTCAAAAACTAAGGTTGTCCGACTTGAGCATTTGGCAGACATTTTCTCAAAAATGAACAAAGTAAAACTGTCAGTTCAAGGAGAACAAGTAACAGTACGTGCTGCCAATAATAAAATTTGATCAAGTGAAATTTAGAACTTTATAAAACTTGTACGTACCAATATGCATAACAGAGCACAAAAAGTTTATCAATATGCAGAAAGTACTAATGAGCTCTTTTACACCGTTTTTCATACTAAGACTTCCTATGAGGTACATAATTTACATTTACAACATATCTCAATTTCAACTGTCTACATTGCAAGTGCTCTATGCGGGTAATGGACCATATTAGACAACACAGTTCTAGACTAACAGAATAGCCAATTATTTGTCTTTAAAGTTGGTAACTTATGCTCATACCATCACAGATAGAGGGCAATTTTGAAATTAAAATAAAAATTTCAAACTTAAAAGCCTTCTTCTAAGCCTCATATTAAAAATAATCTTAAGGGGCAGCTCGGGGTGGCTCAGTAGGTTAAGCATCCAATTCTTGGTTTCACCGCCGGTCATGATCTCAAGATCATGAGACTGAGCCCCACCTTGCGCTCTGCACTCAGCACAGAGTCTGCTTGGGATTCTCTCTCCCTACCCTCTGCCCCTCCCACTGTTCACCTGCTCTCTCTCTAAACGAATAAATAAATAAAATCTTTTTAAAATATAAATAATTATAATCTTAAGAGTTAGGTTCAGTTAGGTACACAAAGTAGAAAGTCTTGCATTTTGTTATTTCTGCCAATTTCAATTTTGAGCTCACAGAGGCTGTATTTGGATACTAAATCCTTTTGTTTTTTATTCTGTGTGTTTTTATTTCACTACGGAGTCATAAATTACTAATATTTCTTGAACACCCACCTTTTGCCAGGCATTGTGGAGTACACAAAAATTAAGAGAGCCACCTTTACATGGCAATGACTTTGGCTTATTGTTCATAGTACTGCTATTATACAGTTAATTAAAAAGGAAAGAAGGAAAAGTCTTTATACTGTATGTAATCAGTGTGATTATAGGGATATAGATTCTACAAGATGACTGCTTATATATGAACAATATTCTTCCAGGTTACCAAATGAACTTAAAAATCACTTTAAAAATAAAACTGTAAGAATATAACATTATACCTTTACTATTAATATTAAATGAAACTAATTCACTCAAAAATAAAACTGACCTAATGTTTTAAATCAAATCTATTGTTTCAATCACTCTATCATACAAATAAGCTCAACAAATATTAAAACTTAGTTACAATTAAATCACAAGGAAGGAGCTGAGGAGTATAATAGGAAAAAACAACTGAATTAGGATCAAAATAATTAATGAGGTGTGTGACACTAAGTCTTGAATGGGACCACTTTTCACCATATCCACACTTCCAGCATCCTGCTACAGGCCACCAGCATCTCTCACTTACATTACTTCAACAGCCTCCTAACTGGTTTTCCTGCTTTCACTTTTGCTCCCTTTGTTTATTCTGAAGAAAACAGCCAAAATAATTCTGTTAAAGTGTAGGTTTAAATCATGTTCAATGCTTAGTAACTTCCAATGGCTTCCCATCTTACTCAAAGTAAAAGCCAAAGCCTTAAATAATTTGTAAGGCCCTATACAGTGGCTCTGAACCAAGGACAATTTTGCCCTCCAAGGGACATTTGACAATGTCTGAAAGCACTTTTGGTTGTCAAAACCGAAGGGCAGGTGCTGCTCACATCTAGTGCAAAGGCGAAGGATGCAGCTAACCAGTCTAAAATGCACAAGACATCCCCCGCAACAGAGAATTATCTAGTCCAAAATGTCAATACTGCTGAAGTTGAGAAATCCTGCCCTATATAATTCACCCCATCACTTCTTAACTTCATCATCTACTATTCCCCCTTATCACTCCAGGTATACCAGGCCCCTTGCTGTCCCTAGAACACAATAAGTATACACCCATTTTGGCATCTGCTGCTGCCTCTGCCTGGAATGCTCTTCCTCTGTATCTGTACCTCTCAATCCCTCCACTCTTTCAGGTCTTTATTTCCTATTCTCTCTCTTAGATATAAACAAATTATCTTTGATTTTCAATGCCTCTGGCTACAACTTTTACCACTCTAACCTTGTCTTAAGACTGTTCAGGGGCGCCTGGGTGGCTTAGTCGTTGGGCATCTGCCTTCGGCTCAGGTCATGATCCCCGGGGTCCTGGGATGGAGCCCTGCCCGCATCAGGCTCCCTGCTCAGCGGGGGATCTGCTTCTCCCTCTCCCACTCCCCCTGCTTGTGTTCCTGCTCTCGCTATCTCTCTCGGTCAAGTAAGTAAATAAAATATTTAAAAAGGAAAAAAAAAGACTGTTCAGCAAAAATCATCTGCTCTAGTCAAAACATTCTTCTTAAGTCTGGGAGAACCTGAGTGGCTCAGTTAGTTAAGCGTCCAGGTCTTGATCTCAGGATCATGAGTTCAAGCCCTGTGTTGGGCTCCATGCTGGGCATGGAGCCTATTTACAAAGAAAAAAAAAACCCAAAACAAAACAAAAAACCATTCTCCATGAGTCTCTCTGAACCACAATGCACTCAACCCTATCTTTATTCCTGCTTTCCCTCTATCTGGAATGCTCTCCCTCTTTTGTCTGCTATTTATATAAGAAGTTATTATGAAGCAGGAAGGAAACATGGAAACACTGGAAATACAACTTCCTTCCTAGAAGTGGTATGAAGGGAATTTGGAACTTGACAGGTTTTCCAGTACCTTTTAATTCATCTCAGTCACTGAAAAATACAACGCTAACAATGAATTGTATTGATGGCTTCATTTGGTAACTACACATCTTTTATATTCTAAAGCCTACAGCATTCTTCCTCTAGATAGGCCCATAGCTTGCATCCTCACCTCCTCAAATCTGTGCTCAAATGTCACCTCCTTAATAAGTCCTTCCCCAACAAACACACACATACTACCACCACCACCCCTTCCCTCTGTCGTTTTTCTCCTAAGCAATTATTACCATCTAACATACAATATATGTTACTTCTTTATCTTGTTTACTTTCCATTTCATCCCACTAGAT